ATATATAAGCTATCTGACCACCAATGTTGCATTTTTTCCCATTGACCAGCTGTCAGGGATCGCGGCGTCCTGCCAGCCGGCGCATGCGCGCTGGCGACGGCTCACGCCGGGACACAGGCACTAGGTCCCGGCGAGCCGTGGATGACAGGATGCCGCGCATGCGCAGTGGGACCCCGCGGGCGCGCCTCGGGCGGCCAATGACAGCCCGGGGGCGCGTCCCGAGCGGCCAATGACAGTGCAGGGCGCAATATTTAAAGATGCCCTGCACTGTCAGTAATCGCTGCAAGGTCTATCTGAGTTCCTGAGTCCTGTACCTGTGACTTATCCTGCTGACCCTGCGTGTGACCTGACGATTCTCCGCCTGACCCGATTTTGTACCTCGCCTACCCCACGGGACCCCCGCTCGTGATCCATCCTGCTAGGTCCTGCCGTCCTCCTCACATCTGGCTCTCCCAGTACCAATACATCCCCGGAGGTTGCCCCTGCCACTGGTGGGCCTGCTCGGAGGTCGTGACCTGGTCCCGGTCTGTTTCAAGTCCATTCCCACCATCAGGGGCCCTGGTGAAAGCACAGACCGGGACTTAGACTCCACGCTTTGGGTAGGTCTGTCAAGTGGGCAGCCAGGGGCACCACCTGGCGGGTTCTAACACCAGCAGTGTAAGGGCCCTTCTCCCACTGACCACCTCTTTAGGGGGCCTGTCTTCAAATGACCACCAATGTAAAGTGGTCCTTCTCACACAGGCCACCAATCTAATAAAACCCTTCTCAACTGTATTTGCTTCCTTTTGGTCTGTTAAATATAGAATATTCTCTATGGGCCCAGTGATCTTCTATATAACTAGTGTTTAGTGACATTTATTCACACACTTGAAATAATATCAGATGCTACCGGGTCTGGGACAAGGGGCAGGCCGGAGGGTTGGCTGCCCTGGGTGCAATGGTTTATTGCAGGGATGGGGCGCCCTGTTCTGAGTTCCTTCTCTTACAAGGCTGAAAGGAGTAGTGACAGCAGCATCACTACTCTTGTCAGCCCAATGCTGGGAGCAGCAAATAGAGAGCCGGGAGAAGGTGCAGGCTGTGCTCTCTCTTTCCCCTCTCCTTCTTGCTAGTGCAGCGCTCCTGTATTACAAGCTGGCAGTGGTGGTCACAGACATAAAGAGAGCTCTATGTGTTAAGCTGAAGTGAGGACAATGGTGACTAACCTCTTTAATCACTTCAGAGATCAGACCTATGAATGGATTTGCTAACAAGCACAAATCCATTCATAAACAGAAAAGAAAATAAATTATAAAAACAGAAACAAAACATGAATTGTATAACTTTTAGCGTACATTCGCACCAATGGATGCATTTTAACGCAGCAGCTGGTGTGCAGTGGGATGGCAGCAGTGCTGATGTGCCAATTGAAGTGCATCTCTCTGTTCACTTTTTTAAACAAACTTTATTGAAATGTCACACAATGACATTTCATCAAGTTCTATTGGCTTTAGCGTAATGCGAGGCAGTAGATTGCTTTGCACTGTACAGAAAAATGTAGTGCAGGCAGTGTTTTTCTCAACACACACCACCTCAACACAGTGGTATGAGCCAGCCATATAGGAGACAAGGCATTTTATCTTGTCTTGTGTTGGGACCAGGGGCAGACTGACCATTTGGAATCTCGGGCACTGCCCGAGGGCCCAGGGTCAGTAGGGGGCCCCATGAGATGCCCCTGGTACCTTTTTCATAGGCTTTTTTGAGTCTGGGCAAGGACACAGGGACCCCATGATTCCCTACTGACCCATGAGTTGTCAGTCCGCCCCTGGTTGGGACTGCCACCAAGCACAGTCCCACACATTTGGTGTGAATCTACCATCATAAATTATTGTTTATTTTATTATTTAACCACTTCCCACCCATAGGATGTCATAGACGTCCTCAGGTTGAAGTGGTTCTACTGAGATGATGCCTGAGCCTGCAGGCATCATCCTGATATGAAAATATTCTGTCCGCAATTCGCAGAAGTAATTCAAGCGGCTGAACAGCCACTCGATCACTTCTGCAAGTGGCCATCACTGCCTTTCCAGGTCTTTCCCGTCCGGTCACAGTGCCTGAGACCACCGTGACCAGTGGTGATGGTGGCACTACACAGAGAGAAAAGAAGTGACATTGTTCCTCTCTGTGACCCCGGAAACCGGAAGCTACAAAGATTAGCTGTTAACAGCTAGGTAAGCAGCAATCAGACCGATCTGCATCTGATCGGCTGCATTGGCGACCAGAGGAGTGGTTTGGGTTCTAATAGACCCAAAATGTCTCCATAAAGAGAACCTGTCACCAGGGCTGGGATAAGGGGTGGGCAGGAGAGTGGCTGCCCTGGGCATGGTGATATTGTGTGAGGTGGAGCATGCTGTGGGGAGAATTCCTACCTACAAGCTGGCAGGAGTAGTGACAGCAGCTTCATTTGTGTTTGGGATGAGAGTATATGTGCTAGGTGGGGGAGGGTGAAGAGGATTATTGCTAGGAGAGGTGTTTGGGGGGATATGTGCTGGCAGAAGGGATTTGTGGGGAGAGGATTTGTACTGGGAAATTCAGGATGTACAATGTTTAAAGGAGGACAAATTTAGGGGGAGGGTTGATTTGGGGGAGATTTACTGGGAGGAGTGATTTTGGGGGGATTTGTACTAGGAGGGGGGTTTGTGCAAGGAGAGGACATTTGTGGGGGAGGGGATTTGGGGGAGATTCTCTAGGAGGAGTGAATTTGGGGGGATTTGTGCAAGGAGGGGAGTTTGTGCAAGGAGAGGAAATTTGGGGGGGGGGGATTTGAGGGAGATTTTCTAGGAGGAGCAATTTTTGGGGAATTTGTGCTAGGAGGGGAGTTTGTGCAAGGAGAGGAAATTTGTGGGGGGGGGGGGGGGGATTTCTGCTAGGAGAGGGATTTGGAGGGGGGAGAGGATGTATGCACAGAGGAGAAATTTGAGTGGTATAAGGAACGATTTGGGGAGGGAGAGGATTTGAGCTCGGGGGGGGGGTTGGTGCTGGTGCTGGGTTTTGGATTTAAGTGGGGGGGGGGAGATTGTACAGGCAGAGGGAATGTTTTTGTTTAGGAAGAATTTTGGCTTACAAGTGGAATTTTTGCTTGGAGATAAGTGTCGGATTAGTGCTTAATTTTTTTTTTGGTGGGGGGGATTTTTGCTGACACACGTACATTTTGTTCTAGGGAAGGGGGGTGCCGTTTGGTTTGTTCCCAGTATTGCCTGTTATGGCCCATGCTTTCACAAGGGTTGTGTTCAAGCAAGGAGAAGAAACAAAGAGATTTTTAGTAAAAAGCAGCACATAGTACACAGATAAAAGTGGTTGTAAAGGCTCAAGGTTTTTCACCTTCATGCATTCTATGCATGAAGGTTAAAAATCTTCTGTGTGCAGCATCCCCCCCACAGCCCCCTCAATACCTACCGGAGCCCCATAACGATCCAGCAATGTGCATGATTGCCTCCTCATTGGCTGAGACAGCAATCAGAAGCAATTGGCTCCTGCTGCTGTCAATCACAGCCAGTCAGCCAATGAGGAGAGAGAGGGGATGGGGAAAAGCCGCAGCACCGTGTGTGAATGAACACATGGAGCAGTGGGTGCCCCCATAGCAAGCTGCTTAGTGTGGGGGCACCTGACAGGAGGACGGGGCCAGGAGAGCCTGTGGGGACCCAAGAAGAGGAGGATCCAGGCTGCTCTGTGCAAAACCACTGCATACAGTAGGTAAGTATAACATGTTTGTTATTTTCCAAAAATAGAAAATGAACCTTTAGAATCGCTTTAACACTTGTTAGGCACACACTTAACCTCTTGATGTTAACCCCATCCCAGCCAGTGGCTTTAGTACAGTAACAGTGTTTAGTTTTATCACTGATCACTGTATTAGTGTAACAGGTGATGTCAGTTAGTCAATTCCCACCCAGTGTCAGTTAGTGTCAGATTGCCCATGCACTATCACAGTCCCAACATAGGTTGCTTATCACCGCATTACAAGTATAAAGAAAATTAATAAAAATTCCGGTATAGAAACCATAGTTTTATAGACGCTATAACTTCCATGCAAACCAATCAATATACGCTTATTGGGATTTTTTTTTTATTAAAGACATGTAGCAGAATACACTTTTGCCTAAATCTATAACGAAATTTGATTTTTTAAAATTTTTTTATTGGATATGTTTTATAGCAGAAAGTAATAAAATGTTGTTTTCTTTCTTTTTTTCAAAATTGTCTGTATTTTTTTCGTTTATATAATAAAAGAAAAAAAAAAACCCAGTGGTGATTAAATACCACCAAAAGAAAGTACTATTTGTGTTTAAAAAAATGATACAAATTTTGTTTGGGTACAGTGTTGCATGTTCCAGCGCTGAAGTGGTTAAATATCCAGTGAGTGAATTATTGTGTCCCATTATGTGCAATCTACTTTCCGTGCTCTCAAATATATTTTATTCATGCCAAAAATCACTGGTTCAATAAAAAACTCCAGGCATGATGCCCGTTGTATAAGAACAGCAGCCAGTCCAATAGAATCGATTTGCCTGAACATCTGGCTTCTGTCAAAAGGGCATAACTCAAAAAGGTCTGCCTATCGGTACCCAATCAAAAACTCTCCAACCAATGCTGATACGCTGACCGATGTGAACATCTGGCTTCTAGCATAACTCAAAAAGGGGCATACCCAATCAGCACTCTCAACCAATGGGGAGAGATCGCTGTACTAACATCAAATTGTTAGTACAGGTTCTCCTCCTAAGCTCTTCATTTTTTTTTTTTTCATTCAGCCCGCTGGGTTGAACAAATAAAAGCTGATAGTGTGTACTAGGCTTAAGCCTAGTACACACGGGCTGAATGTCAGGCAACATCAACCGGTTCAATGGAAACCAGACGACATTCGGCCCATGTGTATGGCAGCCGATCTGACATACGTAGGCCGTTCTGCCGGCTTCTGTCAAAGGGGCATGACCGAAAAAGGTCTACAGATCGGCTGTTACAACCAGGGGCAGACTGACAACTCATGGGGCCCCCGGGCAATAAGGGATCATGGGGCCCATGTGTCTTTGCCCAAACTCAAAAAAGCCTACGAAAAAGGTACAAGGGGAGTCTCATGGGGCCCCCTACTGACTCCGGACCCTCGGGCAGTTTCCAAATGGTCAGTCTGCCCCTGGTCACAACACAATAGCAAAGCAGGGGAGATTGCTGTACTAACATCGGATAGTTAGTACAGTGGCTCTTCCTGAGCAGTCAGGTTTTTTTTCATTCAGCCCGCAGCGTTGAAGAAAAAAAATTGTAGTGTGTACCAGGCTTAAAGTGTTACTAAACTCAGGACCCTGCATTCTCTATATCCGGTCCCCCACAGTACACAGAACATGGAAATGCAATTATTTTACTAAATATAAACAGCTAAATACCTTTTCTTATCAGCAGTTAGAGCAGTCTTGTGACTTCTATCAGTGTCCAGCAGAGCACTGGTTAAAGCTTGTAGGAGGAGTTTTCTTTCTGCTCTAGGAGGATGTGAAACCTCTGACCCTCTGTCTGGACAGTGCTGATTGGCCCTGTGCTGATCACATGCACTCTCCCAATCAAAAAAAAACCTCTCTAGCAATATACACCAAACTGAGCATGTGCATGTGACCACAAATTCAGTCTGTATCAGGTGGTCATTTCAGCAAGAGGAGGGGTAGAAAAGAAAAGATCAAACAGCCTTTTTACACAATGCAGAGGATTAACCCCTTAGGTTCCACAGTGAGTATAACAAGCATGCTTTACTGCATATACAGACTGATTTTACTGTTGTGCGTTTAGTAACACTTTAAAGGCTTCTAAAAGGGATCATCCATTGGTTCACTAACTTGATACCCAGTGCAATACAAATAAGAAGGAGAATCTGGGTTGCGTAAAACCATTTTGACAATTTATTTTTACAAACATTTGTCCATGATTAACCAGCACTATCACATAAGCATCGGCCACACTTACTAGTCAACTTTTCTTCGCTAGAGGACTTTCTCAGAAGCTCTGCTTCTAAAGAAGTCATCTAGTGATTAAATATTATATGTTTGATAAGTAACTAAACAAAAATGTTGATCTTGCCAGTAATTCAGAGCTGTCTTGTGTCCTGTGCTCACATCCCACGTTTTCTCAAAGAGTTGTTATCTTGGACCACAAAATAATTAGCCTTCATGTTGTAGAGATCTGGGAGTAGACATGGTTAAGTTGTTCAGCGAAAGACAACTGGGCAGGGCTGACAACATTGAGCCCATGAAAAAAACTGTGTGTTGTCGGTTCATAGAAGGGTTTAATGCGATTCTGGCAGATCAGCAGGTATTTCTCTGTACGTACATATTCTATAAAGGCATAAAACATGGGCAAATGTGCACAAATCTATTGTGCTGCTCAAGACTCAACCCTCGCTGAGGGCCATTCCAAGTGCTGGCCATTATAGTCCGTCTCCACTCTAAATAAAAAATATGAAAGGATGCATCAGCAACACTCCACTCTTAGCTCCTCTTACCATATTTATTCATAGTCAATAAATTGACTGCATACAATAATATCTCCACCATAGAATAAACCTTAATTTACGCATTTCACCACTTTTGGCTTGCTCACAAGGATACTATCCCTGTGAGCAAGCCAGGAGTGGTGAATCACGTCAAGGTGAAACGCATCAATAAATACAGTACGAGGAGCTAAGAGTGGAGCGCAGCTTTCATATTTTTGATGGAGAAATGTGCATATATTGCAGAACTGCACTGAATTTTTTATTATTATAAAAAAAATTTGCCATGGCATAAGCTTCCAAATCCAACTGCGGGAAATCTTTTACTTACCTAATCCTCCCAGATGGGTCTTTTCCATCCTTCAGAGGTGAATTGTCCCTCGGTGTCTTCACACATACTACAGGGCTATAGACCAGGGCTATAGACCCTACATTGCTCTTGAGGATCTTAGCCTGCTGGAGTAAAGGTGAGAAGAGGCTTTGGGTGCCAGCCTAGCAGGAGGCACCTTCAGGAACAATAGATTGGGTAAGTAAAAGTGTTTTTCCTAATCCCCCCAGACAGAAACAGCTAGTTAAACCTTGCAGTTTGGACGCAGCCCCACGGCAAGGGAGGACTTTTAGGTCTCTTGGAGTTCAACTTTAAGTTTTAATGGTGGCTTTCTGAGAACAAAACCTAACTCAATCAAATGGCTTTTAGAGTTCATTTCAGCAGCTATGGGAATACAATAAACTCCCTAGTTTAACTTGGGTTTTCCCATCATGAGAAAACTAAGCTATGAGAAATATCAGTTTACAGCATTAACTAAATAAACAGTAGCCAATTCATTCCATAAGCCATTGAGTGTTCCCAGAGAGTACGTAGAGCTCTACAATAGGTAGGAGTTTCCCCTGAAGCTCCTTTTTACCTCAGTCATGTTCCCGTGTGGAGACTTGACAGATCTTAGAAGACAATAAGGGAGAGGTTCTCCACAGGTGTGCATTTGGCAAGATGAGGAGTATTAATCATATTGCGTCAACCCTAAAGAATTCCTGTAAAAACTAACACCCAAAGCTCTGCTTTCTTTTTAACATTCCTGTAGGTTGGCTAGGTGAAGGATTCCATAGGGCTCAGAATTTAGCTTAGTAATAGTATGGAAAGTATGAAACCCACTGCAAGATCCCTAAATTGAATCTAAACCAATAAACGCAATTTTTTATCTTGCAGCTAACCAACCCATGATGTGGTGGCCAGGGGCGGACTGACAACTCATGGGGCCCCCGGGCAATAGGGGATCATGGGGCCCCTGTGTCCTAGCCCAAACTCAAAAAAGCCTATGAAAAAGGTATCAGGGCCATCTCATGGGGCCCCCTACTGACCCAGTGCCCGAGTTTCAAATGGTCAGTCCGCCCCTGGTGGTGGCTGTATTTGTTTCTTCTTTTCAGAGTATATTTTCTTTATTTTTACCCGGTAATCCTGCCAGGAACACACTTCCTGTTCTAGGGTGACAACGGTCAAGGTACTGTATCTATGAAGGACAATTGTCACGCTAGGCTTTTCCCCTAATTTGGACTACAAAAAGTCCCCTTTCCATTACATAGAGAGCAAGGTCTGTGTAGCTCACAGTATATATTATGGGAAGCTAAAACAAATGTTTGAGATTTCAGAATAGTGCACAGAAAGTTACAAGGATACCTGATTTCTATAAGTATTTTTCTGTACCTGCAGAAAATGTACTAAGCCTAAAAAAAGAAAACCATTGCAGCCATGACATCTAAGGACTGGTAGGCTGCAATCAGGACAGGAATGAGGGGTGGGCAGGAGAGGCAGCTGCCCTGGGTACCATGGTATCATGAGAGGTGGGGGAGCACCACAAAGATATTAAGGGAAATTTGTGTTGTGAGGGGGAATTTTCAGGGTGGCAAGAGATAAGAATTGTTATAGGAGGGGAAATTTAGGGGGTGTGCTAGGAATGGGAATTTGGGGGGATTTGTGTTGGGAGGGGGGATGGGGGAAGAGGATTCGTGCTAGAAGGGGGATTTAAGGAGTTTGCGCTAGAAGAGGTGATATGGTAGAGGGGGAGAGGGAATTTGTGCTAGTTGGGGAAATTATTTTTTTTGGGGGGGGTGGATTTGTGCTAGTAGGGATGATTGGGAGGGTGTTTGTGTTAGAGGGGGGAATTTGGGGGGAGGCTTTGTGCTGGGAGGGAGGCATTTGTGCTAGTATGGATGATTGGGAGAGTATTTATGTTAGGAGGGGAAATTTGGGAGGAGGATTTGTGCTGAGAGGGGGGGATTTGGAGTGGGGGGAGAGGATTTTTGCTTGGAGAGGAAATTTGAAGGGCAGAGGATTTGTGCTAGGAGGGGTGATTATTTTTCGGGTGCGAGGATTTGAGCATGGAGGGGAGATGAGGAGGCAAAGATTTGTGCTGGCAGGGAGATTTCTGCCGGGGGGGGCAGATTTGTACTGGTAGGACAGGGTAAGCATGCAGATTAGTGTGCAATTCTTTTTTTGGAGGGGGGGGATTTTTGCTGACACATAATGCTCTCACTGTACATCTTGGGGGAGGGGTGCAGTCTGGTATGATGTTCATTCTGGGCTCTAGATGACCTTGTCACAGCACTGGCTGCAATATGTTAGATTTTTGTTCTTGGCTTTAGATATCCTTTAACATTAAAATAAAATAAATGCAGTATATGCTATTAGGTCTGCTTTTAGGAACCCAAAGATTACTTGTGATTGGTTGGTAACATGGACTCTCTAGCACTTGGGTACTATATTAATTTAATATATGCTTTAGATATATATTATTTATTTTCTTGTTGTCTTAACGCGAAGAAGGTGGCCCTGTGAACCCTCCCAAGATGCAATGGCTACCATACTGACACCACTAAAAAAAAAATTATATCTGGGCTTTAACTTTTGGGCAGTGTTCTATATTCTACAAATGATAAACATTGTTCTGACAGCCATCAGAGGCCCCAGTATACAAAAGAGTATCCAGCATAATTCCCTAAAAAACGTGGCAAAGACACCAAATCATGACTGGGAGCTTAGTACTGTACTCCTATTTGTGTCCATGTTTGGGAGATTCCTCCTCACTTTCTGATCCCCAATGGGGTCACAGATAGAAATAAAAACCTAATGCAAAATTTAACTCCCCTTCTTATTCAAAACTGAATTTAAAACATTGCTGTAGTTTGGCTTTAAACCAGATAGTGGTATCTCTAAGCAAGTCTGATGGCAAGAACCCTGAGCTTACATTCCCAAGTCTACACATCTTCTACAGTCATTATGAGTATTTTTAGTTTTTTTTTTTCCTTTTTTTAAGCATTTATATTGAATTTATTTATTTTATTTTGTTCAGCATTGAAGATGCTTAGTACAGTCTATTAAAGCTTGTATGAATCAAATTGTTTTCACAATAAACTAAGTGTATGATAAAAGCTTACACTAATTGTGAGTCCACCTATATGCATGAGGTCCTACATAGTCCAATGCTGCAGCATGCTTTATTAGCTTCTTCAAAGACTAACTGTTGGAAGTAGAAAATTAAAAGATATGCCTGAACAGTAAAGCTTTGACATCTATCGCAAAACAGAAAAGTGGGAAGTTGTAACACTATCAGTGTAGCCATAAACCAAACACAGCAATTTATCACCATCAACCAACAAGCAACATAACCATCAATTAAGTTTTTGTTCTAACCTCCCACAACTGAATATGGATCAAGACAATCTATGACAATGGATAAAGCTTTTTTTTCCTATGGAGCCTGATGGGAACATCCAAAGTTGGGTGCTGTCTTCTAGAAATCCAAGTTGAGCACAGAGCAGGGTATCATGTACCTGGTGTTAGAGGCCAATGGAGAGAGGTCTTCTCTTGCAGCTAAGTTCCAGACTCCCCTGGATATGGGACAGAAGGAGTCAGGCCCAATGCAGCACGGGCCGCCTGTAGGAGTGCTTGTCGGAGGTATACCCAGGAGCACAGCTGATGCACTGGAATGGTGTCTGCAGACAGGTGGCACCCGTGAGAGGTATGCAGGCCTTCAGGGTAGCAGTGGGCCACAGAGTAGTCAGTTCACAGCCAAGGTCAGATGCCGGGTGGAGAGTGGAGCAGACATTGTCAATAGGATAGTCGGGGTCATACACAGGAGAGCAAGTGAGAATATCTATTAGCCAATCCGAGTCCGATCAGGAGAGCAGTTGAGAATATCCGTTAGCCAAGTCAGGGTCAGATCAGGAGTCAGGCATAGAAGACAGGTCCAGGAACAAGTCAAATCGATAACAGCAGATCACAGTAGCAAGGGAACAAGGACAAAGATACTGGGGAGCCAGAGATCAACCAGAAATTTGAGGGAGTGATGGGGTTCCTTATAAAGGCAATCTGGTGCCAAACTGACCTAATTCATGCGTAACTATGCGCCAGTGCGCATGCATGTTCTGGCTCGCGTCCATGCGCCAATGCGCATAGATTTTTGCCAGCATGCATTTCTGCGGCCATGCAAGGTACTGGTAGGAATGCCAGGTCTCCAAGTACCTCTGCTGTGAACAGAGCCCTTTCCCAGGGAAGTACGATAGGGAGAGTTCACCTCCAGACACAAGAAAGGAAGAGTTAATCAAATCACTTACTGATATCTAGTATTGAAAATGAAGAGGTTACTAAAGTTATAAAAATTCTTGTACATCAGAATACAACTTCAGAAGTGATGTAATGTATTGTATTCTTTCATTTTTGAGCATGTGTGGTTCTGGTCACTCGATTTTTTGGACAAATACTGTGCTGATTAAATGAAAATCACTTGTTCTGGTATCATATGAGAAAAATGTCTGTGCTTCTCCCTTTAGATAATTTTGCATGAACTGTCATGATCAGCTCTCGAAAGCTGTATATTAACGATCAGATTATCAGATGATCGCTTTAAAAGCGGTATTTTCCATCCGATTTTCTTATCATGTGTACTAGGCATAAGACCTGGTATTCATTTTATTTGCTTCTTAAAAAACTTCTCTACTGTACACACCATAATTTATTCCAAAGGTGGCCCTGTCGGCACCACCAGGATTAACAAAATTTTCAAAAGCTCTAAAAGTTCTCAGTCAACTTTTGTTGATGGACCTGGGCAGAAAAATTTAATCCAAGCAGCACCTGCATCCAGTTGGATGGAAGCAATAATTAGGTGTTCTGACGGTTGAGGGTTCCGGCTGTCAGAAAACAATAGCCAACCCTGCAGATTTGCCCATCCACTCTGTTTAGCATGATTGGGGGCATCAAGTGATTTTTCTTTTTCTGCCCATGGGAGCAAAAGAAATCTTAATGTATAGGGCCAGCTTCAGCAGTAGCTCCATCCCCTCCAGTATGTGTTTCTGCCTTCCTTATTTAGTGATATCCTTCTTTGCATTGTTTCACCCACCACTGCAGAGGCTTTGTAGATAGGTTGGTAATCATTTCCCTCTATTGCAAACTAAGGTAAACATGCTTTCCCACCATGATAGGTGACAAGTTCATGATGGTCTGACAGATTTAGGGCCAGGTTCCCTGTAAGAGGTATGACTTTACTGTTCTGATGGCAGCCCTGACCAGTAACACTGAGTAGTCTGTAGGCAGGGCCATACGTTGGGTACCAAGAGAGAAGAAAGTGCACACAGAGACTAAAGATTGCTGTAAAGTATATTAACATAAAGCTCTGACCAGGTGGTAACAGAGTCTCTCACGGCCGAACTGACCCAGAAACACTTACAGAGAGTTTGCACAGAATACCTAAGAATAATGGATGATGTCCGGCACAGGGGCGGACTGACCATTTGGAAACTCGAGCTCTGCCCGAGGGCCCGGGGTCGGTAGGAGGCCTCATGAGATGCCCCTGGTACCTTTTTCATAGGCTTTTTTGAGTTTGGGCAAGGACACAGGGGCCCCATGATCCCCTATTGCCCGGGGGCCCCATGAATTGTCAGTCCGCCCCTGGTCCGGCAACATCTGTCAGAGGAGGTGGCTGGAAGGCGGTCTGACAACAAAGTGCCTGGATCCAAAAAGTCTTCTGGCTGGTGAAGAAGGCAAACAGTCCCTATCTGTCCTTCCTCCACTGGAACCTTACCCTGTGCTAGACATGCTGTCCCTGATGAGCAGGTTTATGTCCCTGACATAGCCACGTCAGAAATGTGTGCCAACTAAAGGGGACTGTGCTATATCTTAGCACTGTCCACACTAAAGATGGCTGCTCAAGTCATCCAGGGCAGCATCGTCCAATGGGCAGCTGCTTTCCTGATGACACCTATGGAGGCCTTAGAGGAACATGAGTTCCCCTTGACCTCCGCTCTCTCTGCATGGCGGCAGCTGAACCACCACCTGTGCAGGGGGTAGGAACTGCACCTGTCTTCAACTCTTATATCCCAGACCCTAAGTATACTTAGTGTGGTTCAGCCTCCTAATATAGGAAACCTTGTGATTAAAAGAGGGACTTCCTCTATCCCATCCACCTTTCCTCTTTATTGGCTTTCTAATGGGTCCTACTTATCCTTCTGGGCCCCTATATAGTAGCATGGTCTACACTAAATCTCTGCTAGTCATTAAACACTTTAGCTGAGTCCATCAGTGCAGTTGTCACTTGATTAACAACAATGGGTTCTATTATCCTAATAAACTAGCTGGCATTGCCAATGTGGCATACTGGGTAAGGATGAAACACCAACAACTGACAAGCAGTAACACTAAATGAAATCCTAAAGCCCAACAGCAGATTCCACATCAGAATGAGTCACTAGGTCCAGTGCCAAAGGATAGACAAGACCTCACTGAGACATAGCATGCGGTTCAGGGTGTTCTCTTCCACCATGATCTGACTCAACACATCTGAAGGATCTTAACAAATGGATTAGACTAGACTTTTCTTCAAGGAGAATAATTTCAAATTTCCTGGTGTCAGCTAATCTAAAAGTAATAATTCACTAATGACGAATTCCTATGTTGTTGGAATGATTGAGTGATTGTATGTTAGTGTATATGAAAAATATATGTTTTGCTGGTGGGTATATAGCCTGAAAAGTGATTCACCCCTGGAAAGGCAATGCCCCTAATCAGATTTAGACTACAAAAAAACACAAAATCCTTATCAGGTGTACTTTTTAGGTTTAATATATGAGAAAATGTATGTTCATTTTCATACAGCTAATAAGTAAACATAAAGCAAAATAAGTCTCCTTTTTGCTTGCTTCAATACTTAAAAGGAAATTATAAAGGCCTATTCACATTGTTGTGTGTTAATGCTAGGGATGAGCTTTGGATTTGGGTTAAATTTAGCCTGCACTTCAGCAAGTTGGCCATATTGTGCAAATTGGCCCTCCTGAACCTCCAGTTGATGTCGGCAAACTAACATCAACCTAAAGGGTATCATTTAGCAGCAGCTGGTCAACGATATAAAAAAAGTTGAAATTCTTTATATTTTATTCCATGAAAACCAAAGTGAAAGCATACATTTTGCCTCCACCCAACATACCACACTCTCCAATGCATTTCACCCTTTAAGTATTTATTCCAGTCCCCTGTGAGTAAGCCCTTAGGAGTGGAATGCGTCAGAGGAGTGTGGTATGCTGGATGGAGAGAGAATGTATGCCTTCACTTTGTTTTTTTATGGAAAAAGACAATACAAAGAATTTAAGATTTAAGTGTGTGACCCTCAACTTTTTTGCACTTTTGTGGAAGTGGACAGGGGTTATCACCATCAAGCTCTTGATCAATGAGCAGAGGCTGTTTGGAGTGGTGTTACAGGTTTGGGTATGTGTCTACTAGTGTAGCAATTAATTTGAGTCCCCCTATAGTCCTGCACAGCCAGTCAGTTAGCATTTTCCACCAAGCTTTCATCCATAGACAGAAATCAGGCCTTGAGTGTTGGGTTTTTTATTTTATTGAAATTAAACTTGGATATGGTAAGGGGTATATAGGATGCCCAAGGAATCAAAATCTGAGGACAACTTCCTGAACTATTCACAGCTTCTCTTCTCTGACACAGTCTCTGTAGGAGTGCTAGCCAGCAGCTCCAGTTGTACTAGCCCAGACCTTAAATTAACTCCTGTTCACCCAGCAATCTGGAACCTTTCTTCCTGAGCAGTTGATTTTGGCTCCTGTTCCTTTAAGTAAGGTGTACCGTCACTAGCAGAGGGCTAATCTGGTTTCCCACCAGAGCGCTCTTGCCCCTATCCGCCCAGGGGGTGCAGGTGTACTCATTCAGATCCTCTCCTGTACCGCTTGCAGAATGGCTGCTGCTACCAGGCCTTTTATCTGGGCTGCTCCTTCCCTGCCATAGAAGTGGTTCCCTCTCAGGGGGCCAGTGAGACCTGAATTTTCCTCCTTTCCAGCTCCAGGCTCACAGGCAGGCCCCAT